AATGAGCACAGAACACGCTTCAATCACTCTGCAGCCAAAAAAAAAAATGGATATAAAGGAACGCATCCCAAAATGACTGCGTCGCATCTTCTAAATGTCTTAAATGTTACTGCTGGTAGTCTTCAAAATAGTTTCTTCTATGGAAAGCGGAAAGACTTAAATATTGCATATTATGCAACGGAATCGTTCTAAAATAAAATGTCAAAATAATATGATAATTTTCTAATTAAAAAATGTATTAAATACTTAAAAAGAACAACAAGCTTTGATGTAGCAGATCATGGCTTATCAGTTGAGAAAAGAGCTTTTAAGAAGGTTCAACTAATGTAATAACTCCCTATACTTACTAAAATAAATAGTTGGTACTACTACTTCTGGAGCCAGATGTTTGGATATAATACGCTGTTGTTCTGCCAGTGAGCTGTAGGAGGTGTTTTACATCTTGTGCTGCAGTCCCTCACAAAAATGATAATTACAGTCCGAGTCACTTCTCAAAGTGTGTTTGCATACTAGTTTTTTATAGCATTCTCACAACAAAGATAAACAGTGTTTTCTTTCCCTGCATGCGAGATGGTACAGACAAAAAAAAAAAAGAAGCCCTGTTTTGTCTTATATTAGTCTCTAGCTACGTCTATGTAAAAAAATATTTTATACTAATAAAATAAAGGAAGTAGGCACCTGTTTTATCTTCATATACACTTCATATCCTGCTCATGTAGTCTCTAAACATCTCGAAAACTCTTTTTAGTGCAACCTACACATTAAATAATATTAACTATATATTAGTCTACCGTGTAAAATAATGTTATTATTATATTAGTGTAGCACACACACACACACAATAAAATAGAACAATGTATCATAGAAGTCATACAGCCAGTAGTTAAAAACTACTCTTTTAGTGTTACCTACTCATAAAATAATATTATATATTAGTCTATCATATAAAATTTTTTTTATTATTAAATAATATTTTTGCAGATAATTTAGGTGATTTTTTTTGTCTACCTGAGAACATATTTTTGTCTGTTTCATAGCTGAAGTAGTGTCTAAAAATCCACCCCTGTGGTCTTAGAATCAGAAAACCGCTAAATAAACTCTGAGCATTAGGTAAGCCAGTGGACAGTGGGCTGCCCTTCAAACCAGTGATACTGAGCCAGCTCAGTGAGGTCAGAAAAGTGCAGCCAGCAGGGGCAGGCTAACGGCAGATTGCTGGGACGTCCTTGGAGCATACAAAACACTTTTCATTTCAGCAGGAAGTTCAATTAGGAGTGTGAAATGGTATGGCATTAGACGGCGTAACCTCTAGTATATTTCATATTGATCATATGTGACCTCTTTTACCTGTGCTTGTGGTTTTCCAGATGGCGACACTCCAATTGTGCTGCAGCCAACCAATGCTAGTGAGAAGACCCAGCTGATCGGTGATGGACACAGAACATACACCTAAAAGCAAAAGAGTCATGATAGATATTAATTTTAAAATTCTTTTGGAATATATTGTTGTCTTTTACAATATAATGTTTATGTCAGGACTGAGAAAGCTAAAAATACTCAACTTCTTAAGCTTTGTTTAGCCATGCTGTCTGTAAATAACAGATATTATATTATTCTTATGCTTCATGTGGAATTAAAAGTGTTAATGTGATAAAACTGATGAATGATTCTCTTTTAAATAAGAAATGTACACCCAAAAAATATCCAAGCCTAAATTTAATATTTATGAATTTGAATTACATATAAACTTTTCATCCACTTGGATTAAACATTTTCAAGATAAACTAATAAACTTAATGTGATGGATATTTGTCAGTCATTCATTCAGTTGTTCATTACAATTATTCAGTATGAACATGGTTAAAATATAGCTGTGGAATATTCAATTAACTTCAATTAGTTAAAATGTATGAGATTGAAATTAATTGGATTTATTGATTATAAATATGTAAACCTGTCTATTGAGTATTTAAAACATTTATCAGTACTATCACTGAAATCTTACCTGTTCCATGTATGACAAATATGCAACACATCAAGTTTATTAATTTGTCTATGTTAAAAGTGAGTCATGTGAAATGTTATATGCAAATCAAATACATAAATCATAAAATGTTTGAGTGCATATCTTACAGGTTTTCAAAACATAAATTCAGATATTTCTATATATTTAACTGGTTTCAAATAACACGTTTTATTTGCCCTGTGAAAGTACTCTACATGAATTTAGGTATAGTATCTTCCTTGTTTCACAAAATCTTTATGCAATGTGATGTGCACAGAGCCATTTGGTCTGCTTTCAAACTTTTTGTTTGCAGTTGAATCAACATTTGATGTTGTGAACTCCACTGAGTGTAAATTTAAAAAATGAGTTTCCTTCGAGCCGGATTCGAACCAGCGACCTAAGGATTACAGCGCTTCCTCTACAGTCCTCCGCTCTACCAACTGAGCTATCGAAGGAGCATGTGTTTAGTTGATCGATCTTGAGTTTTTTACAGGGTAAAGTAATTCAATATGGTTAAAAATGAATATACATATATTGCAAAAAAGAACTGTAACAAGTAATTTATTCACATGTAGATTTCTGTAAGATAAGACCAGGAAATGCCGTTGGTTTTCGTCCTTAACCCTCTGGTGCCATTCGGTCATTTTAGACCGCAAAAACAAATATCTCGAAATTTTAAAAAATCTCTACTTCATCGGAATGGTAAGCAACTCAGTGACTTTTATGGCAGTCACTATGTGACCACAAAAAAATCGTGGACTTGAATCGAAAAAGCTAAATGGTCGTAAAATAAATAGTCACACTTGTGTTGTTCGCAGTCAAAAATGACCGCCATTAGAAATGAATGGGAAATACGCAAAAATACAGAGATTGTTTTGTGTGTACAATCTACAAATCAATCACGATGCAAAAAAAAGTGCACAGCAAGGAAGGGGTGACACTCTATAACAGGGGTGTCAAAAATTTATGTATGGGCCATGCTGACGGTTGTGAATAAAATCAGGGGCTGGACATATATTTAGATGATATTTAGATTATTGATGAAAATAAGTGTATTAGTAAAATAAAATTAGTGAAAATTAGTAACAATATTTATCGGAAATCCACACAGCTCCCGCACTACTCTCCATTGGAAATGAATGACTTCCGGTCTGTCGCTTCAGCCGCCTTTAAAGCCGCCTTTCCACTGCACACGAGTACGTTTTATGGGGCTAATCATTGTAAATAATGATTTAATAATTATAAAATAATTATTTCTGCCATAATTATTCTAAAGCACCATTTTACAGAAATAGTGTTTAAAGAATAATGGTAAAGTGAACAAAATATTGGTAATTCTAACCTTACACACTACAGTTTTTAATAGAATACATCACATCCGGTCGGCCGTTCGCATACGGTCTAGCCGCAGAAGCTCAAATATTTTAACGCATCCGCAGCTCAAATCGGATCCGAATTTTCCGCATATGTATATGATCGGAACTCCACGCAGCTCCCGCACTACTCTCCATTGGAAATGAATGACTTCCGGTCTGTCGCTTGTCGTTTGTCGGAGATAGTGGAAAGGCGGCTGAAAGGCGGCTTTAATATGGCAAAATTGAGCCAGAAGTCTCAAAGAAGAGGTAGAAATCAGATTGATTAACCTCTGATAAAGCATTCCTGTTAATTTTTATTACATTTTTTGTTAAACTTTGATGTTATGTGTAATAAAATGTCTTTGTGTTCAGGTTTGACTGTAGTCAAATTAATGCAAAAACTGACATTTCAAACCAACATTTCAAACCAAAAAAATCTAAACCTCTACAAAATGTTGTCTTTGAGAATGTCTAAATATAAATCCAAATCCCCAACAAAAAAAGTATTTATGTTTAAAAACAATTAGAGAATTTATAAGCATTTTATAAATTATATATAGAAATCTAGTGCCTAAACCATGAAATTGCAGATGTTTTTCTTTTTTACTCCCACTAGATGGCACTAATCTGCCTTCAAAAATTGGATTATAAAGGCATTGTCTCTATTTTAACATGAAATACAGCCATAACTGAAAAGTAATAGAAAAATATTAGAAAAATAATGTTTGTATTATTTTCAATGAAAAAATGTATCATAATTGTTGCATAAATATTAAATAGTACCATGAAATTCTCTCAAAATGCAAAATAAAAAAGAAACAATATTATTGAACAAAAATATATTACATTGATTTCACTGAAAAAAAAAAAAAAACATTTCAGGTGTCCGGTCACTTTTGACCGCCAACAACACAAGTGTGACTCCGAGTCCCAAATGAACAATACCAGAGGGTTGATTTGACAACGTGTAATTTCTAGACAAAAGGTGATATATACTGTATATATATATATATATATATATATATATATATATAATATTTGTCTATTGAATAATCCTCATATTTGATTAGAAAGCACAAACCTCAAGTTACGCCAGTTATCGACACATTATCGTTTCATAATAACAAAACTGAAAAGCCAAAATAATGTAACCGAATGTTTAACATTAGCCTACAGATACGCTATCAAAGTGAAAAGTTCGGACACATCGATTCATGATATAATAACAAGAAATATGCATATGAAATAAAACTAAAGATTATTAAACCAACAACATACCTGTTAGATATTGTACCTACTAAATTACTGAAAGAGTTGTTACCTGTAGCAGAAGAACTGCTTCTCAATATTATTAACTCGTTGTTGACTTTAGGTCACGTCCCAAAACCATTCAAGCTGGCGGTTATTAAAACCTCTTATTAAGAAACCACAACTAGATCCTAGTGAACTGGCACATTACAGACATCCTGTGTTTATTGCGTTGAAGAGATGCACGTTGAGTTAATCATTTTCCTATATGGGCAAATAAACACGGCAACCTCTGACGTGCGGCTTTCTAAAAACAGCGCTCACTGATAGTGGGCCTTGGCGTGGGGGAATGCCAAGCCTCATTATAGAGGGTACAGACAGGCGTTTGAGCAATGGAGAGGGCCTGATTTCACCCCGTGTACAAGAACTGGGACAGTTTAATTTTCTCAATCCCAAACGGTCTCATTCTCAACTTCAGTGAATCCGTAGCTCGTCAAATCAGGATGGACAGCTTGGAGAAGCAGCTTATTTGTCCCATTTGTCTGGAAATGTTCACGAAACCGGTTGTGATTCTTCCTTGTCAACACAATCTTTGCCGGAAATGTGCTAATGACATTTTTCAGGTAAAGTTTCATTTTTTTTTCTTTGTCAACAAAAATATTTATGTACCACGTTTTAGAAAACAAATAAATATTTTTATAGTGGTGTGGAGGTTTTTAGAATTTTTTTTATATTAATTGTTTTATATATTACGTTTTATTTTACTGTAGTTGGTTATCAAGAGTGTTGCTTCACCTCATTCGCCTTTTTTATTTAAACACAGGCTATTTGAGAAGTACCTTACTCAGAAAGCTAAAATATATGAATATATGTAAATAAACAATCAATAATCTCTAAAAATTAGATGTTTTATTCATTTGCTGTCTCACACTTCCTATACAGTCCTCAAATCCATACCTTCCCACCAGAGGAGGCACAGTGGCGTCAGGTGGCCGTTTCAGGTGTCCATCCTGCAGGCATGAAGTTGTGTTGGACCGCCATGGAGTCTACGGTCTGCAGAGAAACCTTCTGGTGGAAAACATCATTGACATGTACAAACAGGAGTACATCAGGTTAGAGCTGGGTAACAAACACCTCGGGAAGCTCTAATAGGATGTCCACGTGGTTTAACAAGATCCCTTGTGTGATACCTCAAAAGTCTCGAACAGATGATTTCTGGATAAACAGATGAAAATGTTGAAGAGAAATGTACAAATACAGAGCCCAGAGCTCCAGACTGTGAGTAAAATGGTTCCTGAGATTTACATCATTCTGTTTAGTATCTCCTTACATATTCTCAACAGCGTTTTGTTGTAAAGAATTAATACATGGTATTCTTATATAATATTATTGCTTATAAATTCTTCTGTTTAGGAGCCAATAACTTCCTATTAATTTTTGTTTAGTCTGGAGCTCTGTAGACTCAAAACATTTAATCAATGAATGTCTAAAATAATATGATTTCTATTATTATCAGTTAGAGATAGAAGCCCTTTTCCACCACATAAGAAAATAAAATCATGCTTTGGTAAATCATAGTTATGACATAAAAAGTAATAAAAGATACAAAGTTGAAATTTGACATAAAAAGTCAAAATTAAGGCATTAAATGTCATAACTATGACATTTTTAAAAACGTTCTATATCATTATTATGATTTACTAAATGATTCCTTTTCCTGTGTGGTGGAAATGAGTTTCTGAAATTGATATAAAAGTCAAAATTAACATAAAAGTTTAAATTATGACATACTAAGTCATAATTATGAGTTAAAAAGTCAAAATTATGACATACAAATTCAAAATTAAGAGATGACATTTTACAATTATGACAAGTCAAAATTTAGATAATATAAATCAAAATTAAGACTAATTATATTATAATGTTATAATTACATATTGTAACTATGGTTACCAAAGCATGATTTTTTTTAATGTGTTGGAAATGGACTTCCATAGTTAGCTCTATTGTAGAGGTAATAATCCTTTGGCCTTTTAGTAAAGTGCATGAAGAAACCTTTTTTTTTTCCTTTCCAAAAAAAAAAAAAGGAGCAGACATGCTTTTAAGAATGAAATTCCCCAAGGCTGAACGATTAAGTTCTCCACCGCCCTGTCACTTTGCATCCCACTTAAGCGTTTTGCTTTATGAACTCTTTTGCTTTTGAATGAGAGATTCATGTTTTAAAGCTCTATAAATCAGTCAGTGTTTTGCACTGCAATAGACAGATTCCCTAGCGTCCATGTGGCTCCCAAGACCTGTGACTCAGACAGGTCAGAAGGCCAAGGATGACAGTCAGCTGGCAGCGAACTTATTTTTAGTTCCACCAGTCAGTGTTGAGTCTCCTAGGTGTAGTGACATGCATAGCAAACCCGCAATGTAGCCTAGTGAACTCTATAGTTAATTCATTAAGCATTAATTTGAAGTCCTGTCCATATCTGATTCAAAAGCCGAAAGGTTTTGAACCTTAGAAACTGTTTTATTATATTGTTTAACCTCAGATGTCAGACATTGATACTCATGTATTCGATATTCTCCAAAGCAGCAGACCTTCTCCCGAGAGGAAGGTTGACCAGCCAGTGTGTGAAGTCCATGAGGACGAGAAAATCAACATTTACTGCCTGACCTGCAGCGTTCCCACTTGTTCTATGTGTAAAGTGTTTGGCTCCCATAAGGACTGTGAAGTGGCCCCTCTTAACAGTATTTACCAGACGCAAAAGGTAAAACCTCTTGCACTTTTGAGGCATAGTAATATTTATGTTTGTTTGCATAAATACACCAGAGTTTGCGTCAGTGTGTATGTGCTTGTCTGTGCAGCATATATTTTTACAGTTGTGTGTTAATATGCTTACGCACATCCTCATCTCCAGACAGAGCTCTCGGATGGAATAGCAATGATGGTGGGCAATAATGACAGAATCCAAGGCATCATCAGTCAGCTGGAGGAGACCTGCAGAACCATAGAGGTTAGTCACCCTGTGTGGGGGCTTCTCCCTCCCCAAAGCCTGGCATAAGAGCAGGATTATTGATGAGGAACGTAAGAACGCTTCCTCTGACAAAAGATACACACGCTCTGGCATTGACAAGCTAGGCAGGCAGGAAGCTGGATTCTCTCCAGACCTCACAGTTGCGTTCACAGAGGCTCCATGATTGACAAGCAAGCAGAAATGAGCCATCTCTGTTAAACATATGGCTCCTCTGATGGAAAGTCATTGTGAGCAAGGTTGAGGGTTGGACTCTGTCGAAGGAAAGAAACAGGAAGTCAAACTATCGATTTACAGAGAACATTTTAAACCTTAATCTTAAAATTTGGTGGTCCATAGTTAGTGATTTACATCAAACATAACGGCTGTGTTCCAATCGCCCAATAGTAGCCTACAAAGTGTCATTCTTTAATAAAATTATAATATGCTATATATCGCTCAAAAATTAGGAATCAGTATGATTTTTAAAGGTTTTTAAAAGAAGTCTGTTATGCTCACCAAAGCTGCATTTATTTGACCAAAAATATAGCAAAAACAGAAATATTGTGAAATATTATTATGGTTTAAAATAACTGTTTTCTATTTTCATAAATTTTAAAATGTAATTTATTCCTGTGATGGCAAAGCTGAATTTCTAGCAGTCATTACTCCAGTCTTCACATGGTGCTTCAGAAATCATTCTAATATGCTGATTTGCGACTTAAGAAACATTTCTTCTTATTATTAAAGGGGTCATATGATGCGATTTCAATTTTTCCTTTCTCTTTGGAGTGTTACAAGCTCTTGGTGCATAAAGAAGATCTGTAAAGTTGCAAACACTAAAGTCTCAAAACCAAAGAGATATTCTTTATAAAAGTTAAGAGTTAACCACGCCTACCTAAAACGGCTCGTTCTAACACACCCCCACATATCTACATCACTATCTCGGAAGATTTGCATAATCGTCGAATCCGCCGGCCTCTGCTCACTCTAGCCCGCCGTGTGTTTCGTTGTGAAAGCGAAACTACTTTGTTTGGTCTTCCAAAAGAGGACACGACTACAAATCAGTGGTTAAGTTGTATTTACAACACTGTTCCAGAACACTTCGACCCAAATATTTAGATGTATGCAGCACATTTTATGGAGGACCGTTGCTGGCCAATCACAGCACACCTTGCTTTTTCAGACCGATGAGCTTTGTAAAAATCGACGCGTTTCAAAAAGGCGGGGCATAGAGGAGAAACAATAATGTACAGTATGTGGAAAATAATGTGTTTTTTTAACTTTAAACCGCATAAACACATTTCATTACACCAAATACACAAAATAATGTTCTTTTTAGCAGCATCATATGAGCCCTTTAATGTTGAAAACAGTTGCTGCTTAATATTTTTCTGGAATCTGTGATACATTTTTTTCAGGATTCTTTGGTTAGAATAGAAAGTTCAAAAGAACAGATTTATTTGAAATTGTGTAACATTATAAATTGTTTATAAACATAAATCCTTATTGTCACTTCAGATCAATTTTATTGATCCTTGCTGATTAAACATATTAATTTCTTTTTTTTTTTTTAAACTGTAATTGACCCCAAATATTTTAACAGTACTGTATATAATATAAATATATATGCAATATATCTATTGCATACTGTACAGTTATGGACATGAATGTATTTTAATCTATATTATATTTACATTTGTTATATATTTACAGGAAAATGGCAGGCGACAAAAATCCAAGGTGTGTGAAAAGTTTGACCATTTGTACGCCATCCTGGAAGACAGGAAGAGACAGATGAACCTGACAGTGAACGCCGAACAGGAAGAGAAACTGAATTACATACGTGGCCTCACAAGGAAGTATGGAGATCATCTGGAGTCCATGACCAAAATCATGGAGACAGGAATCCAGACAATGGAAGAACCTGAGATGGCTGTTTTCTTACGGGTCCTTTATACCTACAACAGATTACAGAAACAGGATGAACCCAATAATGGAAAACTTTTGATATATTTATTTATTTTTAAAAAACACATTATTTAAAAAAAAATCTTATTTATGAAAAAAAAAAACTGCCTGGAAAAGTCATGGAAATGAGAAATGGATACCTTTTGTAAATATACTGTTTTCTTGTTTGCTCTGCTCTAAAATATTTAATCATCTAGATAATTATTTTTGCAAATGCTGTTTCGAGAAGAACATGACTGCAAACCAGAATGAAAATATAAGTCTGTCTGTTGAGGGTCTTATTGGAGGCATTCATACACTATTAATTATAATTGTTTAAAGCCATGAATTCAATAGACTGGCATGGAAATCCATGCCAGCGATGAATGAGATAATTAATAAAATAATGATAATTATTTTTGCAAATGCTGTTTCGAGAAGAACATGACTGCAAACCAGAATGAAAATATAAGTCTGTCTGTTGAGGGTCTTATTGGAGGCATTCATACACTATTAATTATAATTGTTTAAAGCCATGAATTCAATAGCGATGAATGAGATAATTAATAAAATAATAAAAAAAAAAGATTGATAAAAATTTGTGGGAACCCTGTAGAAATTCAATATATTTTATACATAATTTGTGTTATCTTGTTGTGAAATAAATCTCTTTTTCTCTTACACATGCCATACAGAATGCCAAACCCCTCTTGCAAAAGTAAGTGTTGATTCTTTCTGCAACATTAATGTGTATTTTGAACAAACACACAAATTGATTTCTTGTTTGCTAGAATTGAAGAGGCATCAAAAACCTCGCACCTGGAGAGAGTGGAGCGTGGCTATGAGAACATGGATCATTACTCTGTGAGCTTCAAAATAGAGGGCAGGGCCCTACGCAGTATCGACTTCGCCAGAGGTACGGCTCACCTGAAATGCTCATTAACCTGATTCAACTTCAACTATCAACATGTGTGGGTTTAAATCAGGTTAGCTTGTTGAATTGATTAAGAAAATAACGTTTCATTTTCATGTGCTATTCAGAAGCCTCTTAAGCATGTTTTCAGATTGTGACTCAACGAGCAACCAGTTCAAATGCAAGTATATATTAAACAGATTTGCCAGTCAGTTTTCTAAAATCCACTAGAAATGTGATGCTAAAAATTGTCAGTATTGTATGTGATCAGTATGCGGTTGATGGTATCTTCACGTTCAGATTGGTTTGAGAAAATGCAACTTTTCCATTTTATATGTTAAAGGAATAGTTCACCTAAAAATGAAAATTTGCTAAAAGTTTACTCACCCTCATGCCATCCAGTATGTAGATGAGTTTGTTTCTTCGTTGATTTGGAGAAATTTAACATTACATTTCTTGCCCACCGATGGATCCTCTGCAGTGAATGGGTGCCGTCAGAATGAGAGTCCAAACAGCTGATTAAAACATCACAATCCACAAGTAATCCACACGACATCAATGAACATTTTGTAAAGTGAAAAGCTGCATGTTTATAAGAAACAAATCCATCATTAAAACATTTTTAAAATCTTTGCTTCTGGTCAAAATGCGAGTTCTCTATTCATAATATTGCTTCCTCCAGTGAAAAGGTAATCTCGTCTGAAACAGGAGAGAAATATGCAGAGATCAAGCATTGTTTGTAAGCAAAAACAATTCTAAACAAATGTGTCAGTGGATTTTGATGTGAGATTACAACAACACACAATGAACTTTTTAACTGGTGGAAGCTTTTATGTACTAGTATTTTGGCCAGAAGCAACCTTTTAAAGTTAAAACACCTTAATGATTGTTTCTTACAAACACACAGTTTTTCACTTCACAGGATGATAACTGGTAGGCTGGAATCATGTGGATTACTTATGGATAATTACAATAATCCATAAATAATCCAGATGACTCCAGCCTATCAGTTTGTAATGTTTTTATCAGATGTTTGAACTCTCATTCTGACGGCACCCATTCACTGCAGAGGATCCATTGGTGAGCAAGTGATGTAATGCTAAATTTCATGAAATCTGTTACGATGAAGAAACAAAATCATTTACATTTTAGATGGCCTGAGGGTGAGCAAATTGTCAGCAAATTCATTTTTGGGTGAACTATTCCTTTAAACTCTCATTGTTTGCAGATGATGATGAAGAGGAGGAGGAGGAGGATGAGGTGGGTGTCGATGCGGACGGCCGGGCAGGGCAAACAGCCTCGGGAGAAGTGGATTCACTGAATAAAGCCCTTCCGTCCCTTCTTCCCCCACAACCCCTGAGCACACGCAAACCCGCCACATCATCATAACTTCACAAACACAAATATTGATCCAACATTCATTTTGCAACCTGTTCAAAACAATATGGACACCTTAATCTTTAAAACAGACTATTTTACCAGTGACTTTCAGATACTGTTACTGTTTCTGTTTCAGTAACTCCTTAATAAAAGTCACTAGATGACTAAATATAAATGGAGATGACTTAAGAAACCCTTCCAATATTTGTGGTGTTGTTTACTGCGTAGGGAGTGTTCGCATGGTATTTGCATTGCAGTTGGCACAGCAGTGGTGTTTGAGTTATGAATGATATGATTCGCTTTAAATATTCTCTGGATTTCATATTTAGAAACGTCAACATCAAATAAAAGGTTACCCTTATGTAGTGTAATCATTTATAACAGATTTAATTCAAACCAACATCCAGTTCAGTTCCAAAAGCATTGGTGTGTCACATATACAGCAGATGCCTAATCTACATGAAGAAACATCCGTGGCAAAGCGTGGAAGTAATCGCCACATCTCTTTGCTCACAGGGTTGTCTTCCCCTGGTCTTGTAGGCGAAGTGTAAACAAGTGTTGCTCGCACATCTCGGTGGTCGAGCTGAAATAACAATGCCAGCACATTGCATAATCCATATATTCTGGCCCACTGGAGGGTGATCAGTGACAGGATGTGCTTCTGGCTTCACACAGAGAATGGCTACAACCAACTTAATGAGGTCCAGGGAGCACAACCCCAAAACAACTCTCGTCTCACCATGTGTGGCTTCCACCTTCTGCAATGAATGAATCCTAGTGAAACTGAGTCTGTGGTGCTACGTAAAACATAAGGTGCCTTGTTAGTTCACATTTGAGTTATTGATCAAATTTAGATGTGCTTCACCCATTTCCACCGTCCTTCGGATGAGACGTTAAACTGAGGTCCTGACTCTCTGTGGTCATTAAAAAAGGTGTGACCTCGGCATCCTGGCCAAATTTGCCCATTGGCCTCTGATCATCATGGCCTCCTAACAATCCCCATATCTGCTGATTGGCTTCATCACTCTGTCTCCTCTCCACCAATAAGCTG